AGCGCTGGTTTGATCCGGTTACCACGTCCAAGATCTTCATCCTCTCGGCCGCAGAGGTGAAGCCGACGCTGACGAATTTCATGGATCCCTCCAGCATTCCCAAGCAATATGGTGGCGACTTGGACTGGAAGTGGGGTGACGTGCCCAACCTCGACGAAGAAGCCCGTCAGGTCGTCGGTGCCCTCGAAGCTCCAGCCGCTGAGGGCGAAACCAAGCCCAGCTTCATCAAAGGCCCCGTCTTGTTCAACGACGACACTATCGAGATTCTCGGCAAAGTCAACGGCGAGAGTCGGAAATCCACCCTCCCTGCGGGTACCGTCGCCCAGCAAGGCGAGTCCGCGGCTGCCCCGGTTGAAAAGGCTGCCGCGCAAGAGACTCCTGACGCAGCCCCTGAGGACGAGAAGGTGGCTGCCGTGCAAGAAGACGCCGCCGCCGCCCTCAAGTCAGAGGCGGAGACGGCCACGAACACCGTTGCCGCTTGATTTTATCTCATTTGAACCATTTCTCTCGTTCTCACTATAATATCCTTCTTTCTTAGCCAATTTTTCTTCGCTTCATCAAGACATTCATCAAGACACTAATGAAACGCACCATATGAGGCGTCATCCAGATCGACTTGGATAATTTCATAGAAGATTTCTGCGCTGCATTTCATGGAACGGGCTTACTTGAAGACATGGTCCGTACAATTTGAATTCATCAAACGGATGTATGATTGATCAGAGCCTGGTCTGACTTGACTCAGGCCGATGGCTCCGTCTACACCTGGCACTTCTCTGTTTCTTTATCACTTCCCATACTCTAGCGGCTGGGGTCTATGCCTGGTATATATTCGAAGCTTGAACTTCGGTATAACATTTTTGTTTGAGATGCTTTGAGAACTACAATATAGACATTTGTTCTCATCTGGGGTTTTCTCGGGTTCGGCAATTCGGTTCCTGTCATTAGGCATCACTTCGGAATCTTTACCAGATACTTACTGATCCAGAGTAATAATACAATGCTTGAACAAAATAAGAGGTAGAATCATCAATACTCAAAACCCATCAGTAGGTGTCATATTCCAATTGAGCAGTAGCCGGCAATGTATGGGGACCGCCAGAGCGAGGGCTAGACTAGCCGCAAAGGTCAGTCGGCCATCACCGCCCGCAGCTCGTCCTTCCCCGGATAGCGTCACCCACCTGCTATTTATTACTGTAGAACAACAACAACAGCCGCTTGAAACCCCTCAATGACCGCCCGAGAGTCACGGTCATAACCATGTGGCTACAGGCGACGCTCCTCTTGCTCGCCTCGTGCGTTCCCTCCATCTCGGCCATCTATGTCGATGAGGTCGGCCATATCGATTACCACCACGCGCTTCTCGGCCTTCCCACCTCCCAATCGACCTTCTTCCTCAAACCCTCCGCCTCGTCCAATGCCTCCCTCCTCTATACCCTCTCTGAGGACTCTCTCCTCGGCGTCGTGAATCCCAAAGATGGATCTCTGGTCTGGAGACAGAACCTCTCGCAACCCGCCCTCCCCGCCGACCAGGGCGGCGTTTCCGGTCTCCTACGAGCCTCCGAAGGAACGAACGCTGTGGTCGGTGCGCTGGGGGACTATGTCTCCGCATGGACTGCTCTCGATGGAAAATTGATCTGGGAAAAGTGGTTTGCAGATGAGAAGATCGCGGATCTCGAGCTTCTGGAGCTTGAAGATGCCAGTGCCGTGCCGTCAGCTAAAGACACTGTGGCGCTATTCAGTGGAAAGGCAGGTGTCGTTCGGAGACTCGATGGTAATTCAGGCCAGGTCAAGTGGGAATACAAGGATGAAAGGTTCGATTTCAAACCCTGCGCTCCCTCTACTACCAAAATACCGGGTGGTTAGTGTTGCTGTTGCTAACTGCTAGAGCTCGCATGATAGTGGAGACATCCCGTTGCAGCTGTCGTCCTCATCCACGGAAGTTTTCTACATCGCCCTGCAAGCATCGGTGCGGAAGGGCTATCGGATCCGCGTGGTTTCGCTGGATCCCTTGACTGGCCTTCCTACCCAGCAGCAGATCCTGAGCTCGGAAAACGAGGTGTCCAGTCCCAAGTCCGTTGTCTTCGTCGGCGCGAACACGGCCGCGCCTGTGATTGTGTGGTCTGACGCTGCGCACAAGACGCTGAAGGTCAACATCATTGGCACTAAGCAGGTATCCTCCTTCGATATTGAGAATACAAGCGGCGAGAGCATCCGGTCGATTACCGTCCACACCCCGAAGAAGCTGGAGTCGCTGCCCCATTACCTGGTGCACTACGAGACGGACTCGACCACTTGGGCGGAGGTATACCACGTTGACCTGAGGACTTCTGCCATTTCCAGGGCGTATGAGCTGCCCCGGTTGCAGGGATGGTCTGTCTTCTCCACGAGCAACAAGGATGCCAACGTCTACTTCACGCGCATCACGCAGTCGGAGACTACCGTCGTTTCTTCTGTCTCGCATGGCATCCTGGGAAGATGGCCTCACCAGTCTCCCCCGCTGGAGGAGGCGGTGCACGCCGTCTCTGAAGTTGTGACCAAGGGTGACTCGGTTGCTGTTCGGTCCGCAGCTGCTCTCGTCTCCGGGAACTGGCAGTTGATCCGCGGCGGTCAGGTCGAGTGGACGAGGTACGAGGCCTTGACGGGCGCCTTGGCCGCTTCGTGGGTTGAGACGGATGGCTCCGAGGACTTGGTCCATCAGCTCGAAGTCGAAGGCCATGAGAGCGTCTACAAGGCTTACATCCACCGCGTCAAGCGCCATGCCCGAGACCTTCAACATCTCCCTGAGTGGCTCAAGGACCTCCCGAAGCGCATTGTGACCAGCATTCTCACTGACGAGGTCTCCAATCTTGACAGCTTTGGAATCTCTAAGCCTGTCATCGTTGCCACGAAGAACGGTCGGGTTTATGCGTTGGATGCCGGGAACCACGGTGCCGTGTCTTGGGCTGTCAAGGCTGCTGAGAAGGACTCATGGGATGTGAAGGCCATCGTGGCTCAACCAGGATCCGCCACTATCTACGCCAATGATGGTAGCTCTGTCACCCTCGATGTCACGTCTGGCGCGATCCTCGCTCGTACCTCAGGCACCACTACCAAGGTCCGCGCCGTTGCCGTCATTGACGATGGCTCCGCTCCAGTCACTATTGGCATTCGTGAGGATGGCACCCCGTTGGAATCCCTTGATCTCCCTGGGTTCTTTGTCACCCAGAGTAACGACGGCCGGGTGCTGGGATGGGCCGCCAGGGACAACAAGACCCCGGTCTGGCAGTTCCTCCCTCCCCATGGAGAGAAGATCGTCTATGCCACTGCACGGCCCGCTCACGACCCTGTGGCGTCGATCGGTAAGGTTCTGGGTAACCGCTCTGTTCTCTACAAGTACCTGAACCCCAACCTCGCTCTCATCACCACCGTCGGCGAGAACACGGCGACGTTCTACCTCCTCGATGCTGTCTCTGGCCGCGTGCTGCACACTTCTGTCCAGAAGGGTGTGGACACTACGCAACCGATTGCCTCCACCATCTCCGAGAACTGGTTCGCGTACTCATTCTACGCGGACGTCATCTCCCCCTCCACTTCCAAGGGCTACCAGCTCGTGATTTCGGAACTCTATGAGGCGCCAGTCGCCAACGACCGCGGCCCCCTCGACGCCGCCGCCAACTACTCCAGCCTTGCCTCCCTCCCCTCTCCACACATCATCTCCCAATCCTTCGTCATCCCCGAGCCCATCTCGCACATGACCGTGACTCAAACCCGCCAGGGTATCACCACCCGCAACCTCCTCTGCACCCTGCCCCTCTCGAACGCAATCATCGGCATCCCTCGCCCCGTCCTCGACCCCCGCCGCCCGGTCGACCGCGACCCCACTTCCACCGAGGCCGAAGAGGGCCTATTTAAGTACAGCCCCTTCCTCGAGTTCGAAGGGCGGTGGTACCTGACCCACTCGCGCAACGTCGCGGGGATCAAGAAGGTGCTGTCCAGCCCGACGCTGCTCGAGAGCACGAGCTTGATCTTCGCCTTCGGCGGGGACATCTTTGCCACTCGCGCGACGCCGAGTCAGGCGTTCGACGTGCTGGGCAAGGGATTCTCCAAGCTGCAGTTGGTTCTCACCATCCTGGCCTTGAGTGCCGGTGTGACGATACTGGCGCCTATGGTATGTGTTCTCCCTCCCTTACGTGCTCTGCTATAGGGTACTGGTCATGTTCTTGGCCAAGCTAACTCTTCTTTTTTTGTGTAGGTCCGCCGGAAACAAATCAACATGATCTGGAAGGCGTCGTCGTAGAGTGCGGGGCTCACTGCGGGAGCTTGGCCTGGTGTGGATTGAATCGTTCGATTTTGTGAGTAGTATAGTTGGAGTGACGATGAGATAAATATATATGATTAATTCAATTTATGATTGAGAACGGAGTTAGTGCTTTTGGCTGCGTAGTGTTGCTGTTGGTAGTAATTCTGTCAAGATGGTGGATTCTGCTGTGCGTTTGGCTATATACTTCGCGTTGATCCATCTTGTGCGTTGCAACGACAATCAAGATGCTAGAGACAGCTGGTTGTTTACAGGTAACTCCTCTTACGCTGCAACTGATGCTTGGCCATGTCACATTACGAGGGTCATAGGGTTGCGAGACAGCTATTTAAAGGTTCAAAGCGTTGACATGCATGAATTATAACTATGACCTATGAGAACCGTTCCGCTAAGAATACTAATAACAGAAAGAAGTAACCTACACTCAACACCTGTTGATTCCAGCCACCCAAGAAAGAGAAATACTGATACGAATAGTAGTTCCTCTACCTCGACCAGGCCCCAGGGACTCGCTTCCCGGCGCCCAATCTCTCCCCCCCGCCCCCAAACGATCCGTCAATATCTCCGTGCCCCTTTTTGGCGGATTAATTACTTCCACTGGACGAGCTAGAACTGGAACTAGGACTCGAGCTCGACGAACTCGACGAACTCGACTCCGAGCAGCTTCTGTGCCGCCCACTGCGACGGTGCTTCTTCGCCTTCATCCTCTTGCGTCTAGGGAATTGCATAGAAGTGTTAGTGTGTGCGTGTGTGTGTGTTTCCCGAGGGACGGGGTCCAGAATCGATGGGGCTACAATCAGACCTACATCTTACTCGCGAACTTCATCCCCGCCGCCCCAGCCAATGCCCCTCCCGCCGTGCCGAGAAACCCGCCTCCGAACTTGCGGCCCAAGATCCCACCGGCTGCTGCGCCTGTCACGGTACTTGCTATTCCTTTCTCGGTTGTTTGGTCTGGACCTGGGCCTGCAGCTGCGGGGTTTGAAGGGGCAGGTGAAGGTGGTGGCGGGGAACCCCCCTGCGGAGCGTAATACGAAGCGCTTTCGCCTTGTATCATCTGGGGTTGCGGGGGATAGGTATACGTATACGGTGCGTTGTTGGTGCTGCTGTCTCGATACTCTGTGTACCGTGTAGCGGGCTCGGAGTATGCGGTGACTTGACCTCCGGTCATTGTGAGAGGGATATTTGCTCGATGGATGTATGGGGAGTTGGTGGGGTGAGAGGGGTTGGATTGTGGGGCGTAGTTATACTATTGATAGCGGTGGATTGGGGGTTTAGTATCTGATGGGCTTTGCTTCGGTGTGTTATGGGGTCTTGTTTACTTACAGCGGCCTGCTGCTGTGGGTATCCTGGCTGAGGCTGCTGGTCAGGCTGACTCTGTCCAGGGGGATGATATCCCGCCTGGTTTGGCGGGTCGTAGATGCTGGGTTGCTGGCTGTAGTAATTGCTTTGGGGTTGGGCGTAGCGATTGCTGTTGTTGGGGGAGGACATAATGATGGTGCTGGTTCTGGGTCCGGTGGTTGGGAGTTGGATGGAGTGTTTGTTCCCTGGGCGGGGGATGGGCTTGTGATGTTGGTAGTAACTGTTGTAGTGGATCTTTAGGTGGTCCATCGGGATGGTAGTATGGCTACTTGTCGGGCATTAGATTGAGAGAGATGGTGGAAGGTGGGAGGATGGGTTGCGGTTACCCTTGTTTGGCTGAGCACAGCTTCTTCTACATGCAAACTGCTCATTATAGAGCGTTGTCCGGATGAAGAGGCCACCACTACTTGAACTTCTGTGCGAGGGGTATGGGCATATATGTCGAGAGTGGCTGTATTCATGCACACAGAGGGGGGTTTCAAGTACAAGTTGATGAGCCGTTCTCGATGCTCCAGGCTTAGCTTCCTGCTAGATGGTGGACCATTTTGCCTCTAGTAGCTTGTGCAAATGTACAGAGACACTCTCCACTGCGAAGAGTCAATATGCTAGCTGTAAGCCAGGTAATTTGGAGTAAATATTGGGAATGTTGACGTAGAGCTCGACACAATGACGGATATGAGAACACCGTTCATGATTGAGGAAGAAAAAGGTTATCTATGAAGTAGATCTTGAAGTAGTAGCCATGTCTTTTGAAATGGGTGTTAAACAGACAGTCAATGCGAGTCAATTTGCATCTTATGTACTAGGTAGCTAAAGCCAACCCAGCCAACATCTGCCTTTTCTTCCTCTTCCTCCTCCTCTTCTTCGTCTATCACTTCATTCCTTATCCACCTCCCTATCATGATGCTAATTGCGATCACCGTCACAACCATCATCGTCTTTTTCACCGTCACCTTCCTTGGTAAGCATCGCTCTTCCTGTATTGTGTGAAACACATAAACTAACCACTTTTTCTAGTGAGTACCACCCCCCTCAGCCTGTCCCTCGATCCTACGCCTTGCCTCTACACAGCGCGCCTCAACCAGATATACCCTGGGAGACCTCACATACAACCTACCTAACACTCAACCTAGACCAAGAACTTCAGAACCGCCCCCGCCGAGTCTAACACCCTTAGCCCTCTATCCCAAGATGCCAACCCGCCGTGACCCCTTCATCATGCTTCAGTAAGTGCTCTATCTGAAAGGTGTAGCTCGATCAGCCGTGATAGCTACTGATGAGGCACGCAGGCTCCTCGAAGCCAAGGCAAGCCTGGAGGCCTTGCTGATGGAACTTGAAGCCGAGTGGATGCGGGGACATCACAGCAAAACCTGTCTTAATCGAAGAGACATCCTCAACAATCTCCTGGTGATCATTAGTCGTGAGATAGACGTGCGGCAGAAAGTGCCCCCTGGACTTCCCAAGCTCTAGTTCGGTGTTTACTTGGAGATCATGGCGTTTATCGGGGGTGATGGGGCCAGTTCTTCTGTTGCTGGGGTTGTTGGCTGTTGTGGATGTTTTGTATGTTGACTGAGCCCGTGACTTCTTTATGTTCCAATGTTTATCTAGAAATGGAATGCATTGCTACCTGAGTGTATTTGACTGAGTGGTCTTGGTTAACGTACAGATATTGTGTTTGGATCTTCAGGTTATCTACTTGTTGATTCGGTGTCATGTGTATATCCTGCGGTTGGCTGTCAAACAATCTCTTCAAATGTTTGATAAGTCCTTAGACTGTATTCATTTCATTAAACCTGATATTATTGCAAGTGAGCGGTAGTGGTATCCGCAAGGCAGTGAAGAAAGCACGCGGAGACATTTCAGCATAAGCATGATCAGGCACTTGTTGTCACTGAGACTGGGAATAAAGAAGATCATCGTATAAATAGACCACTGCCTAAAAGTGAATGACTTGAAGTGTTTATCAAGCGGCACATTGCGAAGGACAAGATTGCCTACAGCCATAAATCCAGCTGGACCTTATTTTGCACTCCTCGAGTCTCTCAACCCCATCCTCACCTCTTCATCCTCATCTCTCCATTCTCACCTCGCATAGTCATAAACATCCCAAGCTCCAGTAAGTCTTCCTCCCGGTGCACTCGATAGGAAAATGACTAAACCTCGAATTCCGTGCCCCCCAGACAGCGTAGGCACCTCGCTTCTCCCATCTAGTCAAGCACGCCGACCTAGCCACCTCGAACCTCTGAACCTCAACCAGCCAAACCCATTCTCCAATCCTAGACTACACATACTGACAGACTCCCAAAAAGAAGGACACCAAGCCCTCTGTACTCCGCCCTTCACCGGCAAGGTTCAGAGACCATCTTCGCGGAACTCAATCCCCAATCAGCCTCTTTTTATCATATCAATACCTACTCCAGCTCGACTTTGACACCTGCAATCCGGCCTTTCAGGCATAAGAACAAGGTAGCAAACACACAGATGGTGGTTGAAATCCTTTGCTCGGTGCTTACATCATCTATCAGAACCTAACTGCAGCCATGCCTCCACACCCGGCCACGGAGTTGATCAGAGCCGTCGAGGGCCTTGAGGTGAGAGCCAGAATCCCTTCTACCGCACGCAGAGCGACTCATGATAATACCAAGAACGCTCCAGGTCCATTACAAGGCAGGGAGTCACGTTGAGCCGATACTGATGAAGAGACTCAGTTGCGCGAAAACCTTCTCGATCATGACTACGAAGTGCCAGACGAAGAGTTCGAGAAGCAGATTTCGGAAATGAAGGAGACGCGCAACTTCACCCCGGACCAGAAGCTGCGCCTCACCAAGCTGCTTATCGAGCTTGAAAACGAGAAAGAGAAGCTGAAGTTAGTCCAAGCCGAGACCGCGGCGGCGGACGCGGCTCTCGATGCGGCGAAGGCGGCTCTCAAGGCTGTAAGTGCGGCATGTCGGGAAACAGAGGCCCACTACCATGCCTGTGCGGAAGCACTACGGCAAGCGCAAAGCAGGGCGAATGATTCGTCGCAGGTGCACCGTGCTGTGTAGGCTGGTTGTGTGTTGTGAAACGTGTTGTTCGCTTGAGGACTCCTTACGCATCCATGTGCGGGGGGTTCTTTTCCACTTTTGCATTTGATTTTCCAGAGCTCTGAGGATGTTGTGGTCGCTCAGGCTCAGTTACAATGGAAGCAGGGGTTCTTCAAGATACTGTCTGATGTTTTACGGCCCTATATACAGACGAGTCCCGCTAATTTCCCCCAAAAATGGCACTATGCCGATTCATCTCCTCCTCGGATCCATGCCCTTGAACGCGGGTCGTCACCTCAGTAGTGACTTCCCACTGGATCTCTTTCACAATCTTCACGTTGCCGTTCTCAACGAGTTCGATCTCATCTTGCAGCTGGGTGAGTCCTTCTTTCCGCCGTGCCCGCGTGCTTTCCCGAGTATAGTTGTAGGGGTAGTTCTGCATGTAGCCACGCGCGAGACTGCTATGCTCGCCAATCAGGCGGGGCGCATAACGACGGAGGAGATGACGGATGAACGGTAAGCAGGGACAGATGATGATAAAGTTGGCTTCGATGTTTCTACCGTGTTGCCAGGAGGTTAGAGATGGGTCCAAATCTAGTCATAACACCTGGGAGAGGGATTGGGCAGCTTACATCCACAGATCCGGCCAGCCGATGCTGTAGGTCGGATCGCTAGAGTTCAAGAAAGGAATAAGGGTTGCCAAACGAATGATCCCGGTTGCTAAGGTTCTGTCAATTGACTCAGCTTGTCATCTCCCAGAATCTTAGATAACGGCATCAAGAACAGATCGACTCACGCGCATCCAGCCATGAACATGAAGAGCAACCCTATCTTCTGTATCGTTGGCATGTTCAACCCTACAACTGTAGGGATTGGGAACAGAATCAATGCAACATCTGTGATGATATTCAACACTGCGGTGGCGACGTAAAGTGCATACTGATCGATGCAGTAGCCCGTGAGTGCTGGACTCCATGCCTTCTGGATGGGGTGACAGCCGAAAATGAATGCGAATATCAGGGCTACGCTATAGCTGCTGACGATGAAAGCGAGCGTGGACAACGCCCATTGCTGGTAGCGTTCTTGACATAGGATGCGGTAGTAAAGAATGATCAGGCTTATCTTGGCGAGGGCAAGCGCTGGGACATAGATGATGGCGGCTGTGAGGACGACCTGCGTGGTGGTATGAGATGGCTGTGGCGGTACATGGCGGGGTGGATTGTGACCTTGATGTATGATTCATATATCTCCGGGGAAAGATTCCAGATATGAAGGCCCATGCCTCCGTGGTGGTAGCCGTCTGTGGAAAGAAATTGATAGTCAGAGAGGGATGAACGCAGGTTTGAGTACGATGTGGGGACGTACAAAGCGAGCATGCCTGAGTTCCTGAGGCGAACAGCTGTATTCGGTTCCAGATTAGCAGAAAGCGTTTGCACATTGATGCATTTGCATACCCAGGCCAGAATGATCGATCCTGTTTATAATCAGCCTCCAACCCACTGCGGCTCACCACCAAGACATACCGTCGTCCCATCCGAACTTGTGCAGCAGCTGTGCCTTGGTGAATACTCGCACAGCGAGGCAGCTTGTACTCAGTGTCAAGCCCAAGGCGATAATCACCACATTGGCCCTGTATAAGTGAGGACTGGAGTAATCAAAGTCGTACGTCTGTCCTGGCGGAGGCTCAGCCGCTGTGACATTGGCCATACTGCGTCTTGGACAGATCCCAGCTATTATACACTACTCGGTGTCATGCTGTTCTCCAACTTGCTGACAGTTTAGAACGATGGACATTGCCTCAAAACCGAACACGCATCCAGCCTGTCACGGTGGCACAGCCTGGATAAATGGTACAAGTCTCGAGACCCGGGAAAAAGAAATATGGTGCTTCGAATTCTCGAGCCTTCGGCTAGTCGCTCCTTTCATTGCGAATGCAGACCTAAGGATTTAGTTGGCCAGGGATCTGATCGGGCTTTGAAGCAGGTCCGAAATCGAGTCGTCTCCTTCCCTGTCTCTTTTCTGGGTATTTCTGAGCGACCGACTGATAACCGTTGCTCGTCTAGGATGTCAGACACAGGGAGGGGGGAGTCTTAGATCGAGACAAGCTCCACATTGATGCTAGGATTATATGGCGCCAGAATAGATGGAGGTGGAGCGGATCTGGAGGCAGCACGAGCCGCCGGTGATTGACGATCCCGCTTAGCGGCCATAGTCTCTTTTAGTCGATGACACCAGGCAGGGATCTCGACTTGTAGGAGATGTCTCGCCTTTTCCTCTTACTCAATCGCTTCCACAGATTCATTTGTTCCGTTATCGTCTTGAGAAAGATCCCCGAGGCTAAATGCTCATTTCTCTTTGGGGTATTATTCCCGATTCCGGCGCATGCTGAGAAGCCAAAGCTAATGTCATGTCTTCTACTAGATCACTTTCTCATCTAACAATGAGACAACCTTCAAGACACCGTCTTCGCTTATACGGAGCAAGTTGGCATCAATGACCGTGGCCGAGGTTGGGCGATATCTCCCTGTGCCTCCCCAAAGATGACCGGTCACATTAGTCCTTCGCTCTCCTGGCCCATTCCTTGTTGCTTTGCGTTGTCTCCGCCTCAGACTCCACATTGGACACCAATTCACAAGCTTATTGCGGTACTCCATCCGAAGAGCCAGTGCCCACTAGAGCCGCCCCGGGAGTCCCACTTAGGGGCTTACGGACAGGCGGCCCGCGGATTGAGAGACCCAAGCCAGCCATCCATTGTCACGAATTGCAAGCATCACACTCTCTGGCACAGTCTCCCATCAGGGCTGAGAAGCAGACTGGGATGCCCAGTCTTCCAGTTAGTGCTCTCGTACTCAATTAATGCTCTCGCTCAAACAAGAAATCCCGCATCATATGGAAAGGCTCCACCGACTCTGCTGCCTGCTCAGTCCGTCGTGCACCATTCCTGCTCCATCCATCCACCTACTATTGGCGGGCTTGCATCGATCGGCATGTTACTACAAGCACTGATGGGAGTGCTCCTGGCCTGCAGAGTACCTTACCTTCGTGCTTCGCACAATGAAATTGCAATCAAACCTTAGCGCATACCTCGTCGTGGCTAGTCCTAGCATCATACCACTCGACCTCATACAGAATAGGTGCTTGCTCGGAGTAGCTCCTCAAGCGACCATGGAAGTCGGTTGCTTTCACAGCCGAACAATAGCCGGCAGGCCTGTGTCCGACTATAAGAGGCAGTGAGCTCCTATAGACAGCGACGGCGAGAATCGTCAAGCGTCGGTCAAACAAGATTCACAATGAAGGCCTCTACCGCATTGGCACCCCTCCTCGGCTTCTTGCCCGAGGCCAATGGGTCAAATATCACTTCCTGCGTAAGCTGCCTACCAATCGGTACATCAAAGGGCAAAGCCCAGCTGATTCCCAATTTTCCAGTGTTCCGCACTTCAAGCCACCTCCCTCCGGGACCATGTTACCTTCCCCAACAGTGTGGCCTACAATGAGTCAGTGACGTCTTACTTCGCTGTGAATGCTCAGCTACGCCCCTCGTGCATTGTCCAGCCTCACACCGCACATGATGTTGCGCTTGCCGTCTCAACTCTAGTGCAGGCAGGTGAATCCCAATGCAAGTTTGCAGTGCGCAGTGGTGGCCACACTACGTGGGCCGGTGCAGCAGACATTGAGCAGGGTGTCACCATTGACCTCTCAATGATGAACAGCACGACATACCATGCAGACAAAGGCGTCGCATCGATCCTGCCCGGCTCACGGTGGCAGGCAGTATACAAGGCCCTTGATCCTTATGGAGTGACCGTGCCCGGTGGCCGTGGCGGACCCGTTGGCGTCGGTGGATTCCTGATCGGAGGTACGTGCATACAAGCTACCCACACCCATCGAGCAAGTCTCATCTAACTTCACATCCACAGGTGGAAACACCTTCTACACGGCGCGCGTGGGCTTTGCATGCGACAACGTCGAGAACGTCGAGGTGGTGCTTGCGAACAGCTCGATCGTCAATGCCAACCGAACGAGCCACCCTGACCTGTACAGGGCCCTGAAAGGCGGTTCGATCAACTTCGGCGTCGTCACCAAGTACGACCTCAAGACCCTTCCCCACGATGGCCTGTGGGGCGGCTTGGTGGTGTACGACAACTCCACCACCGAGCAGCAGATCTCCGCCGCCGTGAACTTCGTGGATAACATCCACAACGACCCATATGCATCGTGGATCGGCATGTGGGAGTACAGCTCGACGACGGGACAGAACATCATCGCCGATGCGCTGGAATACACGAAGCCCGTCGCGTATCCGGCGCCTTTCGACGAGTTTGTGGCGATCAAGAACACGACCGACACGATGCGGTTCGCCACCATCTACAACCTCACCCAAGAGCTGGTCCAGGCGGAGGGATATCGGTACGCTTCTACCCTCGCTTCCCTTCACACACCGTCCCTAACAGATCCAGCGACATCTTCACAACCGGCACCTACCGCAACGAAGCCGAGGTCCTCCGCAAGGCCATCGCGCTGCACAACGAGAACATCGAAAAGGCCAAGGCCGAGGCCCAAAGCGAGTCCTGGTCCATGGACACCATCGTCCAGCCCTGGCCTAAGCTGTTCTGGGAGCATACCGCGGCGCAGGGTGGCAACGTGCTTGGTCTGGAGAGGTTTGACGAGAACCTCGTCCGTAAGCAACCCAATATCCCATATTCCCCAAATCCAACCCCACCAAAAGACCACCATAACTGACAAGAATCAAACAGAGGTCCTCTACGACTACTCCTGGGACGACGCAAGAGACGACGCGCTGTTCACGCGCCTGGGCCGCACCGCGCTGACCGACCTCGACGCCTACGCGCAGTCGATCGGCGCCGCCAACGAGTACATCTACCTCAACTACGCGGACCAGTCCCAGAGCCCGCTGCGCGGGTACGGCGCGGAGAACGTCCGGTTCATCGCCCAGGTGGCCAAGAAGTATGACCCCCACGGCGTCTTCCAGACCCAGGTCCCCGGTGGATTCAAGGTCAGTCAGGTGGTCTGACAGCACTTACTCATACTTCGTACCCCCGGTCCTCCACAATTTGTCACAAATCAAAAAAAGTGATTTCGTCTTCGCGCTTTAAGCAAAAATCAGCGTACCCGCGACCAAGAACGCGAAATTTAGAATGTATATACTCCGTAGAACTTTAGAAAGAAAGAAAGAAAGAAAGAAAGAAAAAGGAGGCCAACTTATGTCCCCTGTCAACCCTTCCGAACGAACCCATTATATGTCACCGTTCGCTGATCATAAGCACAGGACGTAATAAGGTACTGTGGATAAGGTAAAGCAAAAGTAACGGAAAAAAGCCTAGGGGTTGGAGCCAAGCCCCAAGCTGACCATCGATGCCTGCCGAAATGCAGTGAGTACAAGTACGAACGTTACTGACGTTACTAACAGTGCAGTGACCCGGCCCGAACGCAACGCGGATTGGTCGCCTAACCTTCCGCACTCCAACTCCATCTTTAGTGTGAGGGAAACTTTGGGAAGGTAACTCAGCTCAGGGAAAGAAAGTAACTTAGTAAGTCGCCCTTGGGGAGGGGGCCGTCGACGATCATCCGTCTTTCATCATCGTCATAGCAAAAAAAAGAGCACCCGAATAGAAGATACAAACCGGATTAGAATCAAGAATAAAAACAGTAGAATCTACAACCATACCATCCAGCTCAACACAACCAATCCCCCAAGGCACAAATGCCCCCGGGGAACCTGCACCACGACTCAGAACAACTTGGAAGCTAAGAACCCGAGGGACCCTCCCGCAGCCAAGCGCCAGGGCGCAAACAAGCCTCTCTCTCTCCGAGGTGCTCCCACCGAAAGTATCAACTGGGCAAAAACCCGCCAAGACACGTGCGTTTTCCAATCCGTCCGGTGTGTGTCAGTGTGTAGGCTTTCCCAATTCGGAAATGGCAGGCAACTCAGCCGAGAGACTCGAGGAGTAGGTAACTATGAGGAAAAACTGGGGAAGGCCAGAAGGGAAATCCCTCCTCTTTCTTTCCCCCTCCTCTGATTTTTGACTTCTTCATTTCATCACAGCCCCCCCCCAAGTCTCATCTCTGCGGCTTATGATCATAAATTTAGGCTGCTTTTCCTCTCTTCTTCGCCGTTCTCTTTTGAGAGTGCTGTTCCTCTCTTTGCTATACTCTTTTCCCCTCGAGTTTCTCACCGGATGATGTCCCTCGAGAACTGAGTTGTCTTTTGAACTCTTGCTACACCTACAAACTTTTCACTGACTCCAGGTGCTGAAGCAAGACTTCGGTGGATCCTTCCATTGTTCACTATTATAATCTGACAAGTAACAATCAAATGCTTCATTAACAACAGGATTCCTCCTGACTCCTTTCGTGACCGTCTATCATGAATGCGAGGTGTGTATGCAAATGCTATGATATCATCAACAACAACCGAAACACGCTGGTATCACTTCGAGAAAAACAAGGTCGCTCGAAAACACAGCTAAACAATTATGCAAGGAGTACTGAACAAGAGAATCGTCAAGAACGTGATGCAATGCCTCTTACCCCCTTTCACAGGAGCTGCAGGCGATAGTGAACATATAAACATGACCCGGGGCGAATGGGCCTCGTAAGACGCCAGAGGCTTGACCCCGGAAGCCTCTAGGATGGCATAACCGCTTCCTCGGTGTCGTGCCAGCCCCATTCTCGGAGCAGTTGATTCACACGATAGTCGGTTGCCCAGCCAAGCTCGGTTTCGATTCCCTGCAATAGGTGCAGGACTGCGCGTCTCTCAGCAGCATCAATGAGACACTGGCCGCTAACAAACAACGGCTGGAGTGAATTGATGCGGACTGAGCCAGTCGGGCAAGCCATGGCGATGCCCACAATCTCCCGGCTGTGGAAACGAATGTCATTTTCAATGGATCGATATGAGTTGAGTCTATCCGTGATGGTGCTTCGGCGGCTAGTCGACGCGTGTGGCTTGTTTATTAGGAGCAGAATCCGTGCCATGTGATAATGCTGCATAGCTGACGAGCACATGGGAATGCTGTACCAAATTTCGGACAATGCTCCAGTGTCCGCCTTTTCGCCGTCTTTGGCTACCGGCTCAGTCCTAGCACAAGGATGGAAAATATCTGGTAAGCCAGTGTACCACGCATCGAGCTCGGCCTCAAGTCGTATCCATCGCTCCAACAGAGCCTGTTGCGACAAGCCTAGAGGTCCGGTATTCAGTGAGCTGGGATGATTCACTTGCACCTTGTCACCGGCACTTATGAAATTGACGATCTTAGACAGGATCCAAACCAGGCCATTGCAGATCATGTCCTCTTTGATCACGTCGTCTCCGTCGAAATAGCCGGAGGCGTTTGTGTTGCTGGATCGGACAAAGCCCTGACTGTCGATCTGCAGCCCTGCTTCCGTCCACAGAACCAAGTCATCGGTATTCAACCTCGTCTGGCTCTCATTGATGACTATTTGCATATCAGCGATTAGTGGTCTGCAGGTTAGAGCCTGAAGCTACTTGAAAGGTTGACTTACAAGCAGCTAGATAATCTTGTCGGGCAAAGTTCCAGAATGTCGCTCTCCTCGCGGTCGACAGACCAGGCCTTTTGCTGTGTTGTAACATAGATTCAGGGCGTTGTTCGACCGGCATCATCCCCACTTCAGCCACATCTAACAAGGATTTTACGCCACTCAAATGACGGTTCCACGCTGGGCCAGTAGCATCAAGCAATTCATATACAGATAAGATGGCCGTCGCGGCGAGAATCTCGTCCGAATGCACGCCCTTCGAAAACCGACTCTCAGAATACCGTCGCCGGCGTTTGCGAGGGTTATCACTCTCCTCGCATAATTCGGCAGCCTGCCATTGGCCGAAAGCCTCTGGGGTACTCAAAGGCGGGGGTCCTTTATCCGGTTGAAGCTCCTTCATGAGGAGCTGAATAGCTTTCTCATAATATTTCGCGCCTCTCCAGGACCAGTCTACGTGGCTCGCGCTTTGCTTGAGATAGGTACCGCTTGTGGGCACCTGTTCTACCTTGACTCGCCCGAGCTGCTTCGCTGCATATGCGCATGCAGCATGTTTCAGAAGAGGGTTTCGGAGCGCCCTCACAGGGATATAAGAGGCAAAGTAAGTTCCAACATCGAAAAGGTCCATCCTGTCCAATATCAGTATGTTCTTCTTTGGGGTGTAGCAAGAGATATCGGACACCTACCAGAGCCCTGGTACCTCTGAGAAATGTCGCAACAGGAGTGCGACCTCCCTGTCTGTCTCAGCAGGCATATGTGACTTGTGTTCCGTATTTGAGCCTCGTGACACTGCTGACCTGGCAGTCAATGAAGAGCTCCTACGCTCCAGGGCATGATGCATGTTGGGATCCACGGGCGGCGAACGAGCTTGTGATGGATTAAGGAGGAAGTTGATATTATTATTACTGTTGGTATGATTGGAGTTGATTGAAAGAGGAGGCGACAGCTGAGGGGCTAGCACACTGCGCAACTGACTGGGCGACGGGCCAGACGATGCAGTCGCCGATAGGGTGGTATAAGGAGAGGCAGCATCAACGGCTAGGAGAGATTGTTGCTCGACGCTCAATGGATTATACGACAGGCGGTCATGGGCTGCCACGGTGGAGAGAGCTTCGAGGCCATTGTTTTCGGCATCGGCGGACGGCGTGCGCTGCGACCAGGCGCGATTCTGAGAGTTAGCTGCAAGGATGGCGGCTTCAGACTCGCCTAGGGCCGCCTCGAGGTCTTCGGCATAAGGATCGGAATTATCGACGAAAATGACTAAAAAGCAATAACTATCAGACAAGTTGTTGCTAGGCGCCAAGCGGTCCCTCTCTGTTCCGCATGGTTATCTTACCATGCTTCGGGATATCCAGCCAGACACTGTCCTCATCAAAAGTGTTTTTATATGAATAAAAGCCTTTTAGGCTACCTCGACCATTGGGGTTTTCTTGGCCACTTTTGTTCATGGAGGCATTCTGCTGGTGGCGGAAAACGATCCCTTCGCTAGGGCGACACTCCCTCGCACCTTTGCGACATTGCGAGCACTCCGGTTTCTGCTCGTCGCCTGATTATCGGGAAGCTCTTAGTGTTTGCGCCAGGAGATGGAATAGCCTTGGCGTGATGTGAGCTTACATTTGAGTTTCCGAGTGCGACACGTTAGGCTGAGTGAAAAAGCCCCGTCGCAGTTAGTCCAACAATCCTATATTAAGCCGAGAGAAGAGCAAAATATATAGTATGGTAGTGAAAAGTGGAACAAATGGTGTTTTGAGGGTGCAACGTGCCGGGTGGTGAAAATGATACATACCAGCCTGTGCGGGATCGCATGCCGAATGGAAGCGAAGACGGTTGTTGAGCTGCAGCATTCGAGAAAAACAAGGTGGGCCGAGGAAGAGAAGACTGGAAGGTCGCGACTGTGGTGGGAAAGTGCAGGAAATTGGATACAGGGCGGGTGGGACTAGCCCCGAAGCGAGCTAGAACAGTCTAGGTCCAAAGGACCGCGGAGGGGACCGAATGTATATCTGGGGGAGAAGAGGAGGAAGAGGAGGGGGGGGGGGGAGAAAAGGAGGAGAGGAGGGAGAGAGAAAATGAAGGGGAAGGAAGGAAAGGGCAGGCGGCGCGAGGCGGAGGTAAGCAGACAGACAGGCAGGCAGGGGGAGAAGAGTGTGGTGGTCAAGGGATGCACACACACAGAAAGTCTAGTCACAAGCCACGAGGCAAAAGAAAGAGACGGTCAGATCAGATCAGTTCAGTTCCTCCTTCATTCGGGAGGTCTGGACTTTGCATCTGTCTAATCTGGGGTGGAGAGAGTAAAAAGTAAAGAAGCAAAAGGAAAAGCGAGGGAACAGAGCACTCCCGTCGGGAAAGAGCAGATAATCGGAGAGTCAGAGAGTCATGGAGCCATCAGTTCACTTGGTCCAGTACGGAGACAGAGTAGCGATCAGTCAATCCATCCTAAAGGCAAGCGGGGAGAGCCGACATGGCAGGCAGGCTGCCCAGTGAGCAGACCGTGGACACTGTTGCCGTACTCGTAGTTCTGGAGTTCTGGAGTTCCAAACTTCCAACAGAACTGCCTGCTTGCGGGGAACCCAATTTTCTCCCCGCGTGACCTTTTGTCCCGGTGACTAAGACCACGAACTCCATATTAAATAACAGTAACCAGAAGTAGACGAACATAACATGATCACGTCCATTTTCAATCTACTCCACACTACGGAGTACTTTTGCTTCTCCTTCTCTCCTTTTTTTTTTTTTTTTTTTTTTCTTTTTGCTGCATCCCCGTCACCACTGACGTCGCTTCAGGATCTGAAAAGTAAAGTATATGTCCAAACGAATCGTACGTTCCTCCAATTCTCTGGGCCCCCGTCACAGCACAGCACACCTTAGGTAGCTTAGCCACGCACCTGCGGCAGCATCCCCATCCGCCGCCCCGTGCGCAGGATTCCAAACCACCAATCAACCAAAACCAACACTCACCACTCATCACTCGCAGCCCAATCCCCGAATACCAAATGACCTCACCCTCAGTGTTGTTTTTTTGCCACTATACTAGGCGCTGCCTCTACACTACAAACCAGGAGGGTTTTTCCATTCCCTCGCTTGACTCCAGATCAGTCAAAGATAATACTTGTAGACAAATCCCGATTCCAGGATCTGCGAGGTGAGTACTTTACTCGTAAGAAAAGTCGGAGTTGTGGAAATTGTTCATTGCAGCCGCGGACTCGCGCGGATGAAATAATAAGAAAAATGTCAAGGGTATGTACAAAATTGGCCATGCTGAGGCAGTTATGAGGTGTGAATTTGGGTACATCCCAAATGCACACCCTTCCAAGCGTGGAGAGTAACGTACAAAAAGTAATGAGAGATATGGTCAATAGAGACAGAAAATGGAAGAAGAGATGATTACACATAAACAAGGGGGGAGGGGGAGTCGGTTGAGGGTACGTAGGAGGGGGAAGCCATCGTAGTCAACGCAGTCAATCCCTCCCTTCCACAACCACATGTAACAAGAATTCAATAGTGACAATGACAATGACAATGCGCTTTGTGCAGAGCATGAGTAGCATGAAATGAGATGAGGAGGATCGATGGGCATCTTCCGATCAAGGAAGGATTAGAATACGCGGCAGCAATTGACAGCAGGAATAAACAATCATTAGCGTGTTAACTGGAAGGATCAAAATTAGTAGAATCGGACTGGGGTATATGGTGCTGTAGTGAAGTTCTTTTTTCATCTTTTGGGTCCCAAGAACGCCGTGCTGAAGACTAGGTTTCGAAATCTGGGATCACGGACTTCGGAGCAACAAGGTCGAGATGTTGGCTTGCGCCGGGTTCTTCAGTTCTTGTTGCGTCGTTCTGTTTATGTAGGCGTGAAAACGAAAACAAAGTATATTGTGCAGGAAAAGTGCATACGACCGAAAGGCGTCAGCTCATATTGTCGGGGCGGCTGGGTTGGGCTGCTTGATCGAGTTGAACAGATACTCTGGAGGGAGTCTCCGCATATTCGATGGTCGATCGGTTCCCACGGCCTGGGGAGCCCGCATGTAGCCCTGGCGACGGCGCTGGATCTTGTTGAAGATGACTCCGCAGATAACAATCAGAAAAACGCAGCCGAGTGCCAGGCAGAAGGAGATGAGCACAACGATGCCGTTGGAGAGGTGTTTGCCTGCTTCGGTTGTTAGCTTTTTTGATACGTTCATTGAACAGTCACTTGATACGCACCTCCACTGGTGTACGGGTTCTTATTCTCGAAGAACACCTGAGATATGCTGCCAGCTTCGCCGTCGGACTTGGTGGACAGGATAAAGGGTGTCGTTGTGGTTCCATTGAACAAGGCAGCCGAGGCATTGCCGAAATCCGGGATCACCAGATGGCCGGTGACGAGGAGGGTCTGATCGTTGTTGAGAGTGCTAACAGCATCATGGTTCTTCGAAAGCGGAAGAATCTCAAGACCGCGGATGGTAGTCCCCTTGTCGAATGCGTTTCGGACAAACTCGAAGCTGGACCCATCGTAGGCAGCTAAGAAACTAGACCCGTTGTTGTATGTACCACCGAGCCAGAACTTGGACACCGCGCTGTTGGCAGGAGTGAATGCCGTGACGGTACCTGGAAGTTCCGACGAAGAAGCGCCTTGAAAAGCAGTCCAGGTTTGACCCTTGGGTTTATACGTTGCGATCGCAGTCTGATTTCCGTTGACACTCAAGTTGCCAACCGCCAGTAGCTCCTTGTTGCTGAGCCATTCAAGGGCCAGAACCGTTCCATCCAAGCTGGCACCCGGTCGATTCCATTGCTGATCAGAGGTGTCCCAGAAACAAACACCGGGACAAGGAAGCGCCCCCGCAGTCTGGAACTGTCCTCCGAAGTATACTTCTTTCGCACTCGGCCGCGCAGCAATCGCATTGACTGACACGCTATGACCCGTGAGCCGTGGCGGCTGATTCTTGACGAACGTGTCATTGTTGAGGTTGTACAAGACAAACCCGTTCAATGTTGAACTGCCCACCATTCCAGTGATATTACCACCTGCATAGAGGACTTCGTCGGAAATCATAAAGGTCAGGAAGGTAGAGTTACTATCGACACCTGCTCCGAGCCCGCTGATACTGCCATCGCGGCCGTCAATGATGGCGAAGTTCTCGATCACCGATCCATTGGTAGCGTTTGTGGAGAAGTGGCCTCCTAGGATAGTGCGATTCCGACTAGAGCTTGTGTCAAAGATCCCGGTGAAGGTTTCGCCGGTTGTATTGCGATCAGAAAGCAGTGCTTCAAGACCAAGATTATCGTCATAGAGAAGGGCAGCAGCACCAGCAGCAGCAAGGCCACCAGTAGAGAGGCTACCCGCAAGAATCGTGGTGTTGTCAACCTTGGCGTAAGCGGACAGCTGTCCACCAAACTCCAACTGACTGACATTCAAGTTTGGGAGCCAATTCTTGCGCGACGGCACCCAGACAGCAAAACCTGAGACATTTGTGGACGATGTTTGTTCGAAGCTGAGTAACTGATCGAACTCGCCGCTAACACCAACAACAGTTTCGTTGAGGTCCGCAGAAATGTTCAGCGAAAGAGCAATGACGCTGGTTACTCGACCGTTGACGCCCCCTCCGAGAGCAGACCATGCTTTAGTGCCAAATGAGTACGCTGCCACGTAGCTCAGGCCTTCATTTCCACCGCCAGATGTATCGGTGAAATTACCACCGACGTAGAGGACATCATCCAATGTCGTCAAGGCGTTGACTCCGGAATTCAAACCACCTTTTGGCATTGCGGTGGCGTTTCCGTCTTGTTCGATGTACATGATATTGTTGATGCTGGAACTCGAGAAGTTGCCTCCGACGTAGATCGTGTTGCCATGGCTAGCCAGACTCGTGATTGATGCTTCTGAGTCCAGAGCAAGACCTGCTTGATCGATGGCCGACACGGAAACGTTCGTGCCCTTCTTTGTGGTCGGGTCGTACTCGTACAGGCCGTTCAGCTGATCATCCGAAATGCCTGACACAGAGATCGCAACAAACTGAACTCGGGATGCCACCACAGTGACATCGCCTTGATTTGCTACTGGAGTGAGCTTGACACGCGGACGGAACGAGCTATCGCTTGCATCCACATGACCAGTGTAAATCGTATCGTATTTTTCGTACTCATTCGTCTGGTAAATGAGAGTCTGAACGGGCTCCGAAGAATCGCTTGAGGCAGTGACCGTCACATTGACAATACCGCGAGAACCGCAAGTATCGTCCTGGTCGCACCCAGGCGTATATAATTTAATCGAGTAATTGCCCGAATGCTTGACGTCGGGCTCAAAGACAACCGAAGCTTCAGTTGCATTCGAACTCGTGACTTGGGTAGTCAAGTATGCCGAAGAACTTTGACCCGAAGCTGTCGCAGACCAAGACCCGGTACGGGTTGATTTTGATGGATAGCTGGAGTTCGCGCACGTTGGCTCGTTGAAAGCGTTGATCGCATAAGCAAAGATGTCTTCCACTGTCAGTAAATAATCCATAGCTCCCTAGTGTGTCTGCACTTACTGTCTTCGAGAAGTTCGATACCATTCAAGCCGGCGCCCTTGCCGTACCAATTCAGGATCTCAATCTCGAAACCACTCATTGCTGCGTGGTTAACAAACGTGAATTCACGATATTTCTCAGTCGCATTGCTGGAAAGCGAGCAACTCTGGTCGCAGTAGACAGCATTTCCCGTATCCGGATCTGTGTACGTCAAGTTCATGATTCCGTTATCGGGCAGGCGTCTGAATAAGAACGTTTTTGTGCCCCGTCCCTCGTAATGTGTGTTATACAGTCTGAGCTTGGTAGGCGTATATTCGAATTGCATATCGGCGCGCCAGTAACCAGGCGAGTAGTCATCCAGTAACCATGTCTTTCCTGCGCCATCCTCACCACTCGATTGACAAACGATATTGCGGGGATCGACAAAG